CGCCTGTGAAAGCAGGCGTTTGGTGTGTAGCGACACCACGGACCCGAGCTAACGGGGGAGTTCCTACTCCCTCCCACGCCTAGCCGTGCGTGGCTTTGCCGTGTCCGGGGAAAATGGGATCCTGGGGGTTGAGCCGACGCTGGGTGATTGGACCGTTAAGGCCCCCCGGCAGAGGCAACACACCCCTTTTTTTCAATCAATCAATCAATGAAACTTTATTTTTATGAATAGATATATGCAATTACAGGGATTATTTGGACCGATAGCCTAAAGTGGCTAGTGGACGGTCCAATACACTGTGCAACATAAAAAAGTGTACAGGTCAGCACTGAGGTAACAACATAAAAAAAACAAACAAACAATCATATAGTACAGATAACAAAGTAATACATTTTTCCTTCAGATATGCATACTTATTAGCTTGCAGCTAGTTTCTATAGATAGGCACTTATTAAAAAAATACAATGAAAATCGAATCAAACACACACATGCTTACATGTCTTGACTCCACAGAAAAAATGATTTACATGCCATGCTGAAATTACGTGCCGTTTTAATTTCTAGGGGGACCGTGTTTCATATTTTTGTTTCATTAAACTGTATCAGTCTTTCTCCGTAGACATTAAAACATTTGGGCAGATTGAAATTACCATTCGAAGCATGTCGCGTATTGCGTTTAGGAATTAAAAAAAGATCAGCAGGCAAAGGTGAATTTCTATTAAATATGTTATTTACTAGGGCGGCAATTTTGTAGTCACGCAACATCGGAACCGAGAGAATGCGTTGTGATTGGAAAATATTACTTACTGATTCACCATGACTTATAATTTTCAGTGTACGCTTTTGAAGTCGTTCAAGAGTTTTTAGATAACTGTTGTACGTCACACCCCACGATTCCAGACAGTAACCTATGTGACAATGACACAATGAAAAGTAGAGTGTGCGAAGTATAGCTTGTGGAAAATATTGGCGAGCTTTTATTAAAGAATAGCAGCCATAGGCTACCTTTGCGCACACACTCTGTACTTGCTCATGCCAGTGTAAATGTTCATCAAAAGTGACGCCTAAATATTTAAAACAAGGAACTTGTTGAATAGGAGCGATGTTTATTGTTAGGTTAAGAGATTCAGCGTCAATATGTTTCCTACGAGAGTGAAACACCACGTACTTTGTTTTAGTACAGTTAACAGTCAGCTGATTCCTGGCAAACCATTCCGAAATGTTCGATAAATCGGTCATCGCGTCATTTTGTAAATCTGCTAAGGAGTGTCCTGTGAAAACTAAAACAGTTTCGTCCGCGTACATCAGTGCCTTTGACCTCTGTAGGGATCGCGGGACACCATTAATATAAAGAGAGAACAATATAGGGCCCAAAACTGAACCCTCTGGCACCCCGCATTTAATATAACCGTAAGATGACTTGATGTCACCAATGACTACCTTTTGTTTGCGTGCCGATAAATAACTAGAAAAAAAATCAAGCGAGTTACCTTTTATCCCATAGGAATGCATTTTTTCCAGTAAAATGGAATGGCTAATAGCATCAAATGTCTTTCGTATGTCAAAAAAATACTGCTATTGCTATGTTGTTTTCATGTAGCGCGGAATTAATATATTGCGTAAGCATCGAAACAGCAGTTGAAGTGGACCTGTTTGCAACAAAGCCGTGTTGCTGGGGACAAAGTACATTCTGTTCACCCAGGAAGCGCCTTAATTGTGACGAAATTAGTTTTTCAAGCGTAGTGTTAATACTACTCAGGACAGATATTGTTCTGTAGCTGTCCGGAAGATTCCGATCACCAGATTTGTACACTGGTATTACTTTGGCGGTCTTAAGTATACTGGGATAAGTTTTAGAGGAAAATGCATGATTAAATATATGGCATAAGGGACCACACAAAACATCAATATTCTCCTTTAAAATCCTTGATGATATGGCGTCATGGCCACCTGCCTTGTTCCCTGGTAACTTAATAATTACTTGTCAGATGTCATCCTCAGTTACATCACATAGATCGAAATTATTGGTAACAGTACAGGGTGCATTTAAATTCGGCATATGATCAGGGAACTTCCTCGCAAGGCTGAGACCAATATTAGTAAGTAATCGTTAAAGTTGTTGGCCCCGGCTTCACGTAGACGGCACCCCTGGGCTGACCCACCCAGGGGAAATCAGCAGTCGCCTTTTCCTATCTCTCTCTCCCTACATCTCCGTCTTTATCTCTTACTATTTATCTGTCCTGTCTTCTACTCTCTTCCGTTTACTTCCAAACTTCCTGGCGGCTAGGGTTAACCCTGTGCAAATAGCCTACCTTGGTCTAGGCGCATTGGGTTATAGTGGCGTTGTATGGCTGGCGTCTGCAGTTTTCAGCATCTGTAAACTTGTAGCGTCCCCTCGTTGGGCTCCGTGGTGGGTGGCCGCCAACGCTGCTGAACAAAAATAAGACCGGCATGCATGGAGCATTTCCTCAACTGTCTGATCGTACCGGCCTAAAGCGGGTACGCACCGACGACATAAACTTCTTCAACCAGCCAATAGAAACTTTTCCCCACTTCCACGTCATTCACTGTGAAAAAATCGGAAAGCAAGCCAGGACCGTATCTCCTTTCGTAGTTGCCAGGTGTCTTACTGAAACTCTCGGGGCTGGATACAAAGTAACCAAAATGGCTAGCGGAGACCTTCTTCTCGAAATTTGGGACAAAGCACAATTTGTAAAGCTAGACAGCCTCTCAACGTTTGGTGACGTGCCGATCACCGTAACACCACACAGATCCATGAACATCACTCGCGGAGTGGTATCTGATGCAGACTTACTTGAACTCACCGAAACTGAACTTTTGGAAGGGTGGAAGAGCCAAAATGTCAATAATGTACAGAGAATATTATCATCAGAAGAAATAATAAGGAAATACCAACGAAACACTTGATACTCACGTTTGCATCCAGTAAACTACTCAAACAGGGTACACAAAGACATCTATGAGGCCGTATATACCAAACCCTCGTCGTTGCTTCCAATGCCAGAGGTATGGCCATGGCTCTAAAACCTGTCGTGGTCGCCAGACTTGTGCACAATGTGGAGTCTTAGGCCACGTGTCTGAGAACTGCAAACAACCGCCACACTGTGTAAACTGCTAAGGAAACCATGCCGCATATTCACGCTCCTGCACATACTGGAAAAAAGAAAAAGAAATAATTACATTGAAGGTGAAGGAGAACATTACGTTTAAGGAAGCACGGCGAAGAGTCGCTCCATTCTATGGACCTACATACGCTGATGCGGCGCGTCAGGGGGCACCGCCGCACCAGCCCTCGCTACTCCTTCGGCCCGCGCATGCCGAGCCGGTGGTTGTGGCACCTGCCCTCAAGGCGGCTGTAGCCCAGGCTACACCGCCTGCTCCCAAACAGAGACCGGAGACTCCAGAGTCTTCGGGTCTCAAGGCCTCCCCTCACCAGGCGAGGCCCGAAATCCGAACTAACAACCCGCACGTGCGGGCATCCAGTGCCTTCGAGGAGGCGATAGATACGTCGGCACCCTTGGTGCCGAAAAAGCGACGTGGCTCCTTGGAGCACGCCAAGAAAACAAAAAAGCAAATAACAGGGCCTCGTGACGGCCCTGTTAAGTGAACTCAAACTCCCCGTCTAAACAGCCACTCGCTTTTCGTACACACAGCATTATTTTACATTCACCATGAACACTCAAATTATACAATGGAACGTCAGGGGCCTTCTCAGAAACCTTGACGACATCCAAGAACTCTTACATGAACACTCACCAAAAGTGCTGTGTGTACAAGAAACACACCTTAATTCGAAACACACAAATTTTCTTCGTAAATACGTTATTTTTCGAAAGGACCGTGATGATGCCATGACATCATCCGGAGGTGTTATCATCATAGTTGCCATGAACTGTTCGCCACCGCTAAACAAGCGCTGCCAGTCTACGCTGCGCGCGCCTTCTATCTTATCTCCCTTTTCCCCTTCCCTTACCTTTCGTTCTTATAAAAACCCAAGCCGGACAATAAACGCTCGCTTTTTGCCCTGGCCACTCTGTTCGTGCATTTCGGGGCGCGGCTCAGCCGCGGGGGCCAGTTATAACAGTGGCGACGAGGATTTAAACAAAGAACGAGACCCAGCTGCTTCCTGAAGGCGGGCAACCAGCCACCACATCGACAGCCATGAGTCACCGCCTCCCGGAATTCAACGACGACACAGATAAGTGGCAAGCGTACCTCGTGAAGGTTGAGGCTTATTTTGAAGCAAACGAAGTCACTGATGATGCCAGAAAAAGAGCCCTGTTGGTAGCCGCACTTGGGTCGCGAACGATTGATGTACTATGCGGTAGAGTGGCACCGCAGAAGCCAAACGCACTCGGCTACGATGCGGTAGTGAAAGTTCTAAGCGAGTATTATGACCCATGACCAAACGAAATTTCAGAAAGCTTCAAGTTTTTCCACCGAAACCAGCAGGAAGAAGAGTCTGTTGACGCATTCATTGTGGAAATACGGCGCCTAGCGCTTAACTGCAACTTCTCGTCCATGCTGGATAGGATGTTAAGAGACCGTATCGTGTGCGGGGTACGTTCAAGAAATTTGCAAAAGCAGCTGCTCGCGAAACCTGAGTTGACATTACAAGAAGCAGAGGCACTTGCGTTGGCGGCAGAAAGGGCAGAGTTAGATGCGGAGAACATAAATCGAGAAAGGCCCCCGGTTACAGAGTCGGCAATGAAAGAGCAACGCTGGGTGCCGCGAGGCCAGAAGAAAAACGAAGACGGAAAGCCATGCGAGTGCTGCGTAATCATAAGCGTGCGACCTGTTCAATGCGTGAGAGGCACTGTTACAAATGTGGAAAACAAGGGCACTTGGCACGCATGTGCCAAAGGATCGACAACGCGTTGAATGTAACAGCCCAAGCCACCGACAGTGATAGCAGCGCGTCGCAACTTTGGTCCGTAACTTCGAAGAATTCATTGGTGCCACCGATTCAGGAAACGTTCATGTGGAACGGCGTAAAGCTGAAGATGGACCTGGATACCGGCTCGTCCGTATGCGTCATTCCTAGAGCAACCTACAAAGCCCACCGTCATCAATGGCCGAAGTTGCAGGAGCCGAAGATAAAGCTGGCGTGCTATTTGGGGAAGCTACCCGTACTCGGAGTACTGTCAATGCGTGTATGCCACAAATTGGCGGAGGTTTATTGCAACCTAATCGTCTTGGACTGCGAAGGTCCTCTCCTGTGCGGTCGTAATTTGCTGCAGAAACTTCAAGAGCAGGGCACAGCAGTACTCCACGTAGCTGCGCCAGCACTCGGGGCGAGCCCGGAGTCTCCGCCCGCGCCTGCTGTGTTGGACCGCTACTCCGACCTGTGCACGGAGGGCGTAGGACTCATGAAAGGCCCACCGGTGCGCCTTCACATCAAGCCTGGAGTGACGCCAAAGTTCTTCAAGGCAAGAAAGGTACCCTACGCTCTGTTGGATAAAGTTTCAGAGGCATTAGATCGACTCGTGGCAGCTGGGATTATATCACCAGTGACGCACTCGGAATGGGCTACGCCCATTGTTCCAGTCTTAAAGAAAGACGGCACAGTTCGCATTTGCGGTGACTTCAAGGTTACCTTGAACTTAGTATGCGAGCTGGAACAATACCCGCTGCCTCTTATTGAGGATATTTTTGCACAATTAGGTGGGGGGGAGCGGTTCAGCATTTTGAATTTGCGCGACGCCTACAACCAGATCCTGCTAGACGAAGAGTCTCGCAAATTGGCCGTGATAAACACCCACAAGGGCCTCTTTTGCTTCAACCGCCTCCCGTTTGGGATTGCTTCGGCACCGGCGATATTTCAAAGGCGGATTGAATCAATCCTACAGGACTTGTCTGGGGTGCAAGCGTACCTAGATGACGTGTTGATAGCGGAAGAGGGTGACAGCGAAAACCGCAATCTGATGGCTGTGCTTGAGCCCTTCTGTGAACATGGCATTAAGCTTCGTGCTGATAAGTGCCGCGTTAGCGAGCCCTCTGTTACATATCTAGGTCACCGTATTGACGCGAATGGACTGCATCCCATGGAAAAGAACGTGTATGCTATCAGGCTAGCCCTTTCTCCACAGAACGTCTGCGAGCTACGCTCATTTCTGGGCATGGTAACCTTTTATAACAAGTTGATGCCCGACTTGTCTACCATTCTAGCGCCGTTGTACAAACTGCTGAAAAAGGGCGCTAAGTGGACGTGGAGCACCAACGAAAAGAAAGCCTTTGCCCAGGTGAAAAATGCGTTGTGCGTGGCACCAATACTCACTCATTTTGATCCGAACCGTGAGCTCTTCTTAGAGTGTGATGCGTCCCCATACGGAGTTGGTGCTACACTTTTTCATCACGCCGAAGGCGAGAAGCGACCCGTAGGCTTTCGATCGAGAACGCTGACAACTGCCGAAAGAAAGTACTCTCAGATCGAGCGCGAGGCGTTAGCCTTGATATTTGGTGTTAATAAGTTTAGGGACTACCTGTTGGGCCGAGAGTTCACTCTGGTTACGGATCACCAGCCGTTGCTGGGCCTGTTAAGGCACGACCGTCAGACCCCCGTCATGGCGGCAGCCAGAATACAAAGATGGGCGCTACTACTTGGTGCATACAAGTATAAACTGCAGTACAGGCCGGGAAAATTTATGTTCAACGCGGATGCATTAGGCCGGTTACCCCAATCTCTTGAACAGGAGCTGCAGGACGACGAGGATGCGGCCGAGTACGTCCTCGTCGTGGACCAGTGGGACGAGCCGGCGGTGCCCATGAAAGAGCTTCAAGCCCTCACGCAGTCAGACGGCGTACTGTCAAGTGTGTGCAGATACGTCATCCAAGGTTGGCCACAACGCACTGCGGAGGAAGGCACAGAGATGCGGGAGTATCACAAAAGGCGGAACGAGCTGTCCGTGCAGCATAACTTGCTTCACTGGGGTCATCGTGTTGTGGTTCCGACGGAAGCCAGGAAGAAGCTACTGAAGTTATTACATGGAGCTCATCAAGGAGTTTCTGCAATGAAGGTAGTTGCACGGTCAAAATTTGGGTGGCCTGGCTTGGACCACGATATTGAGCGCTTAACCGCTGTGTGTCAGCACTGCGTACAGGCGTTGCCCATGCCACCCGCGCAAGCACCCATTCGCTGGCCAGAGACGCAGGAAAGATGGTCGCGATTGCATGTCGACTTCGCGGGTCCGATCCAAAACAAGATGCTTCTTGTCGTCGTGGACTCTCACAGTAAATGGATTGAGGCCATTCCCCTGGCTCACGCGACCTCGCGCAACACAGTCGATGCCCTGCGAACGCTGTTCAGTAGATTCGGTCTGCCACACACAGTAGTGTCTGATAATGGCACGCCATTCACCGGATGGGAGTTCAAGGAGTTCTTGCAACAGAACGGGGTAGTTCACGTGCGGGCCCCCCCGTACCATCCACAGTGTAATGGACTCGCCGAACGTGCGGTGCGAACCATCAAAGACGGACTAAAGAAGTGTGGGGACGCAGACTTGTCAAGGGCGCTGGCTAGAACATTGTGCCGCTATAGAAACACGCCGCTTCCGTCCGGGCGCTCACCATCAGAAATGTTGTTGGGTTACCAGCTCCACACCCGATTAGACATGTGTTTTCCTCCCAGGAGCCGAGCAACAGGGGATGTCCACTCTGCTGACAGCGCCGAGTGGAACTTCGCACCGGGAGATCCTGTGTACCTTCGCAATTACGGCCGTGGTGACAAGTGGACACCTGGGAAGGTCCGGTCAACCTCTGGTGCACGCATCGTGTCTGTCGACACGGAGAACGGGCTTGTTCACCGGCACATGGACCAGCTCAGGCGGAGAAGCATCGAAGAACCGTAGAGTCCAGAGGCTCTCACTAGTCCCCAGATAAGCCCGGACCCTCCAGTACAAGACTGCGAAGCTCCAACGGCTACTGGCCCCGGTCTTCCGGGCCACCCGTCCCCAGAGCTAAGACGTTCCACACGTATCAAGAAGCCAGTGGAGCGTTATGGATTCTAAGGAAGAAGGAATGCCACGAACTGTTCGCCACCGCTAAACAAGCGCTGCCAGTCTACGCTGCGCGCGCCTTCTATCTTATCTCCCTCTTCCCCTTCCCTTACCTTTCGTTCTTATAAAAACCCAAGCCGGACAATAAACGCTCGCTTTTTGCCCTGGCCACTCTGTTCGTGCATTTCGGGGCGCGGCTCAGCCGCGGGGGCCGGTTATAACAATAGTGAATCAAGGAATTGCATGCACACACTTACAACTCCAAACATCCCTTGAGACAGTGGCTGTTCGAGCGGTTTTTTTTATAAACTGATCACAATCTGCACAATTTACATTCCTCCTAGCTATCAGCTGCAAAAACGTGATTTACACTCTTTAAATGATGAACTTCCGGAACCTTATGTTCTCCTTGGAGACTTTAATGCGTATAGCAGGCTATGGGGTGACTCTCGGTATGACGCGCGAGGTCGACTGATCGAACAGTTCCTTCTCTCGTCGAGTGCGTGTCTCCTAAAACAAAAAGAACCAACCTATTATAATCTCGCCAATAACACCTACTCCTCCATAGACCTAAGCATAGTATCTCCATCCCTTGTGTCTCTACTCCAGTGGAAAGTCATCAGTAATCTGTACGGAAGTCACCACTTCCCCGTAGTTTTGAGCACAAATACAGTAACTGAGTGTCCACCACGTGTTCCCAAGTGCCTCATAAACAGAGCCGACTGGGAACAGTTTTATACCATCGCTCATCTAGGTTGGATTGACATATGTACTTTGAACATTGATGTTGCTGTCAACTTCTTCACAGCGTTTTTGATTGATGCTGCAACAAAATGCATCCCACAAACAAATGGACACCCTGGAAAACGGCGTGTGCCATGGTGGAACTCTGAATGCCGAAACGCGCGCAAACAGCAAAACAGAGCTTCGAGACTGCTTCGGAACTCACCGACAGCCGAAAATCTTGACACCTTCAAAAAAATCTTCAAAGAGTCTCAAGCTAGGAGAACGCGTCGGCAGGCCAGAAGAGAAACCTGGCAGAAGTTTTTATCAGAGATCGATTCTTACACACAAGAGGCCAAAGTCTGAAACATGGTCGGTAGGATAGCAGGAGAACAAGTACGCACACTTCCACTCGTAAACACTCAAGGTGATACCTTGGAAGATCAGGCAAACTTCCTCGGGGCACATTTTGAACGGGTATACAGCTCGTCCCACTATACTGACACTTTCCAAAAATACAGAACAAGAGTAGAAAAGCAGAAACTCGAACACAAATCAACTAGATACGAGGCGTATAACCAAGCTTACAGTCTGGCGGAGCTCCGAACTTCTCTAAACTTCTGCAGTACTTCTGCCCCAGGTTCTGACCGTGTGGTGTAAGAAATTTTAAAAAACCTACTAGCCGAAACACGAAAAACCTTACTTTGTTTGTACAATGCTATCTGGTTTTCTGGCACTATCCCTACCTCCTGGAAAGAGGCTATTGCTATTCCCATTTTGAAAGAGGGCAAGGACCCTTCTTTAGCTTCAAGTTATAGGCCTATTGTACTTACAAGCTGCTTGTGCAAAGTATTCGAAAAAATGATAAACTGCCGACTTGTACATATCCTTGAAACAAACAATTCGCTCGACCCATTTCAGTGCGGGTTTCGAGAAAGTAGATCAACCACAGACCACCTTGTTCGTATCGAGGCACAGATCAGAGACGCCTTCGTCCATAAACAATATTTTCTCTCTGTGTTCCTCGATATCGAAAAGGCGTATGATACAACATGGCGTTTCGGAATTCTAAGAGACCTGTCCCACCTTGGTGTGCGCGGAAGAATGTTTCATATAATCGAAAGTTACCTGTCAAACCAGACATTCCGTGTCCGTCTGGGCAGTGTGCTCTCCCAAACATTTGTCCAGGAAACAGGCGTGCCACAAGGTGGCGTGCTTAGTTGCACACTTTTTATTATCAAAATGAATTCTTTGCACTTGTCCATTCCCTGCAATATGTTCTATTGTACGTATGTTGACGACGTCCAGCTTGGCTTCAAGTCATGCAACTTGGCCATGTGTGAGCGGCAGGTTCAGCTGGGTTTAAATAAGGTCTCCAAATGGGCAGCTGAAAACGGATTTCAACTTAACCTACAAAAAATCACGTGTGTCTTGTTCTCTCGAAAGACAGGCATGCACTCGGAACCTGACATTCGACTGAACGGGCAACGTCTGTCCGTCAAAGCCGAGCATAAATTCTTAGGCTTAATCTTGGACAACAAGTTGACCTTCGTACCGTACATCAAGTATTTAAAAACAAAATGTTTAAAAGCCATGAATGTTATAAAAGTGTTGTCACGTACTACGTGGGGTAGTGATAGGCAATGCCTCATGAACCTCTATAGAAGCCTCATTCGCACCCGCTTAGATTATGGGGCCGTTGTCTATCAGTCTGCTACTCAAAGTGCCTTGAAGATTCTGGACCCCGTGCACCATTTGGGCATCCGCCTTTCTACGGGTGCTTTTCGCACCAGCCCCGTAGAAAGCCTTTATGTTGAGTCAAATGAGTGGTCGCTTCATCTGCAGATAACTTACATGTCCTTTGTTTATTTCCTTAAGGTGAAATCAGACAAGAAGCACCCCTCATACTCTACAATTAATGAATTGTCGAGCTCAACTCTGTGTCCAAACAGGCCTTCGATGAGGCAGCCCTCCTCAGTTCGCCTGAAGTATCTCGCTGAAGAAACTGCAGTGTCACTTGAACACAGTTTAATGGCTCCTGTAGCATACCCGCCACCGTGGCAGTGGCAGACTATAGACTGCGATGTGTCTTTCCTAGAAGTTACAAAACATGCACCAATTGCCCATATCCGAACATACTTTTTGGAACTTCAACACAAATACACACGTCCTGAGTTCTTCACAGATGCCTCCAAGACTAACTCCTCTGTGTCCTACGCTGCTTTCGGCCCATTCTTTTCGGATGCTGGCCCTCTACATCCACGCACAAGTATCTTCACAGCGGAAGCTTACGCGATACTTGTGGCAGATAAACACATCAAACAATTACAAATACAAAAAGCAGTAATTTATACAGACTCCCTCAGTGTGGTAACGGCTCTGCACAGTCTTAAAAAACAAAAAACCCGGTCCTTGTCTCACTTTACTCCATTTTGTGCACACTCTACACACTCAAACAACATGTTGTAGTGTGCTGGGTGCCAGGGCACCGTGAGATTCCAAGGCAACGTGAGGGCGGATCAGCTCGCTGCATCCGTTCATGAGAGCACCGCCATTACATCCATATCAATCCCGGCCCTTGATCTTAAGCCGTCTCTCAAACGAAACCTCGGGGACTACTGGCAGAGCAAGTGGGATACACACACACAAAACAAACTACACGTTATCAAGCCACACCTCGGTTACCAGTATCAAAATCGCGTATAACAGAGGTAACACTAACAAGACTCAGGATAGGACACACATACACGACACACACACATCTTTTGTCCGGTGGTGATCCACCATTGTGTGATAAATGTGGTGAGGCATTAACAGTTCTTCACGTTTTAATTCAATGCAAACAGTTAGACACTCTAAGAAGACAACACTTTCCATTATCCTACCGACAACATATACCTTTACACCCTTCAATGTTCGTTGGCAGGGAACCGCTTTTTAGTAATAAATTATTGTTAGCGTTTTTAAAAGAAATTCATAATTTTCATATCATATACCCAGGCATTCCGTAGCACAACCTCTCCAGAGAGGTTTTTGCTGCGGTGGCTACACACGAAAGCACTTGCCTCACGGCCCTTGGACGCTAGGGTACCAACGTGTGAGGTACTTGTGCTAATGCCATACATGTTCACCATCGTTTTTCATTATCACCAACTTTTGTCACCTATTCACACCACACACACCTTTCACGGCATGGTCATGATTTTATTACTTGTATGTATTTACCGGCCTTACTGCGAGGAATTTTATGGCCCTTATACAGCCGCTAATCACAATCATTGTCCACATTCCTTGTCCCTTGAACTGGCGCTCTTGGGCCATCAAATGGCCCTTGCGCCAAAAAACACCATATATCATCATGAATTTTTCTTGACAGTAGCACTATCGATCACAATACAATCAAACCCCGCTACAACGAAACTGAAGGGGCGTGGAAAAAATTTGTTAAAGCAAAAATTTTGTTGTAGTGAAAGCGAAAAAATATAGCCAATCTATACTAGTAAAACGAAGAAACGTTTTTTCTCCAAATTCAAAAAGTGTCCGCTGCTTATTATTCTATCCCAGCAGCGTCAGACACGATTCTCACCCATGAATATCTGGTCACGGTGAAAAGCACGCTGAAACAGTGCCTATAACTGCTTTCGTGAACGAACCAAACAGTTGCATTAACACCAGCAGCTGTCCGCCGTCAAAACGCCGAGATGGCAGCAGGGTATCGTGAAGCAGTGACTTTTGCCTTATATTATGCCATTCTTATCATCCATCACTCGCAACTAGCTGATTTTGTTGATAATGCGGATGATCAGCTGCTCTGATTAGTCACCACACTCGCCAAGCGCAAACAAAAAGATAAGCATTGAAATCGAAAAAGGCCTCATTCTGCAGATGCACCCAGCAGCTGCGCGAAGGAAAGCATGAACTAAGCAACTGAGCCTCAGCTTTGAATCGTCTGCGGCTATACAGTAAATCCAAATTTGAACATTTTGATGAATTTTTAGAAAACTGAAAATACGTTGACAAAGTCTAAACTACGCGTTGGCAGTATCAGAAACCACACCGCTGTTCAGCAAGTGTGGGCGCCGCAATTCCTCAATAGCGATAGCAATGAGGCTGCCCTCCTTTTGGCAAAG